CTTTCATTTTCAGGTCCCACGGTTCCAATGCTAGCCAGACCCACAGAAGGAGACACAGAAAGACCAAAGAGTCCCCAAAGAAGGTACTCCTGTCCCCCTTTCACCTGCATTGCCTGTTAGCCACCTGGTTGGGTACCCCAGATTGAGCAGTAACTGGGCCTCCCTCTCTGTGTGCAGAGAGCCCTAGTAGGATTGAGAAAGATGGCAGTGTATGGACCAGGGTACTGACAGGAGGAGAGGACTCATGTTCCCGGGGTGGTAACAAGGTCAGGTAGGAGAAGGAAGCAAACTTTGGGAGCTGCTGAGGTCCCAAGAGGAGGCAGAGCATGGAGGTGACTAGAAGCTCACAGGAAACAGAAAAGAGATGCCATTATCCCAGAAGCTCCTCCGGACAGCTCAGGGAGAAATTGAACAGCCAGCTGCCTGACTGGAAACCTCACTCCCCACCTTACTCACTGTCTCAGTTACTTTTTACTCATTGCTGGGACAAAATACCCAACACCCAAAATTAAGGAAGGAAAGGTTAATTTAGCTCACAGTTTGTGGAGGCTTCAGTCTATACTTGGCTGGCTCCAAGGCAAAGTGGCACATGGCAGAGAGCAGCAGTTCATGGCAGCAGAAAACAATGAAGAGCAAAGGGAAGAGCAAGCTACCCTGGGACTGGGGGTGTAGACCTCACACAATGTCCATGCGCTCCTCTTGCATAGAATGAGGTTATTTACAAACCAAGAATCCTAGTTCTCTGTGCTGAGTCACTTAATTAAACTTCTAAACTTCTCAGGTTGACACAGTGTATCAACCAGTATACTCATGGGGTAGCAGGTTACCTGTCCTACCTCATAGAGTAATCATAAGGCTGAGTTGCCACTGCCTGTGTGCAACTCAGATCAAGGGTCCTGGCCATATGCTTTGTGTAGAGACCCCAGATTCCAGGGATAATACTATGGGGACTCAGTCCCTGACCTGCAGGAATACAAGGTCTGCTTGGGAGGCCAATGCTAGAGGAGCCATTGAATATATATTAACTGTGCCTCCAGCCTTCCACATTGGTGGGTTCTGTATCCACAGGTTCAGTCAACCGCAGAGAGAAAAGATTTGGGAAAAATAATTGTATCTGTACTGAACATTTACAGACTTTTTCTTATTATTATTCCTTAAATAGTATAGTGTAATAACTATTTACATAACAAGTACATTGAATAAGGTATACATAATTTGGTGGTTATTCAAATAAGATTATTTACATAGGCAATATGCAAATGATATGGCATTTTACATAGGGACTTCAGCATCCATGGATTTTAGTATCCACTTGGGGTCTTGGCCAGTCCCCCTGGGTACTAAGGGACAACTGTGATAATGCAAACTGGGGTGAAGGAACATGAAAGGAGAGAAGGCTTCCTGAGAGGACACTGTACTGGGTGTCTGAGTTTTCATCGTAGTTCTCCAAATGAAGTATTATTCTTTTTTCTTTTTTGGTGTTCTTTTTTCCCATAATTTTATTGATAAACAAATAGCAATGAGACAGTTTCAAATCAAATTTGTAGGACAGTTTCAATAATTAACGCATTGCATACATTCTTCCTAGTGTGAAGTATTATTCTTATTTTGAAGATGAGAAAGCTGAGACACAAACTCAAGTCAGGAGGAAGATTAAGAGAGAAGGGTAGGAGTAACTTAGGGGGTATAGGATCAAAGCAGAGGAACCAGGTGTAGGAGGGAGAAAATATTGAGACATCCTGCTCTTCCCTCATCGATTAAAACTGGGCTCTCAGATCACTTGAGGCATTGCAAAAATTATTTCTGGTCTGACATACCCAAATTTCCACTTATGCAACCCTGAAGGGCTGGAAATCCGTATATGTAGAAAGCCTGTTAGATTAGGGCTGTGACCAGCCCAGGATACCAGGTCAGGGCTGGATGCTGACTTGACATCTCTGCAGCATCTGAAGGCCCTGGAGGAGTCCAGCTGGGGAGCCACGTACTAGCTGCCCATGAGATGCAACCAGAGAAGACCAACTGTCTGGACTCTCCAGGTCCCAACAACATGAACTTCTTTCCTTTTACTTGGAAAAGAGAGAAGATTCCAGGAGCCTTGGTTGCCCCCAGAGCATTTGGGAACCAAAGGAGAAGCTTCAGCTAGACCAGAAAGAGAGAGCCCCGAGGACTTGGAAACTCCTGGAGAACTCCACAGCCAGTATCCAGAAGGAAGGGGGCAAAGAGGCCCAGGAGGAAAATCCTGAGGTGGAGGCTGAAGACAGAGGGGTTCTGCCAGATCCAGAAGGTCAGAGAACAGAGAGGCTTCCTGAAGAAGAGGCAGAGAAGGACCATGGCCAGGCTTCACTGGCTCCCAGCCCCAGAGAGACCATAGAGGAGGCCACATCAGGCAGCAGACAAAGGTGGGAAGTGCCTAGCATTCTGGGACAACCTTGGGTCCTCCAAGACCTGGGAACAAAGCAAGTCTCCATCTCAGAACAGCCACAAGAACAAACGGAAGTGACTGGTGTTGCCAGGAAAGAGGAGCAGGCAGAGCTACCCCTGCAGGACATGGTGAAGGTGAGGGAAAGCAGCTGTGCCCCGTACCTGTCTGTTCTCCTGGCTCTAACCTGGCCCAGTCCCAGATCAACTGTGACTGCTCAGCCCAGGATGAGGATTTGGGGATGCCTCTTGAAAGCTGTGTATTCTTCAGCTACCCCAATTCCCCTCTTCCCTAAACTTCGCAATTAGACACACTTGTCCACTGTACCTCCTGCCTGGCTCTGCGGCCATTTGAGTTTGCGGTCCTGTCCCAACAGTTCTGAATTTCACAGCTGTAGACCCTGCCCCATCATTCTCATCAATGCCGTCCTAGAGGTCACCCAGGATTGTTACCAACACTTCCTTCAACCTCCTGCCTAGCCAGTCTTCCAGCTCCAAGTGCTTTTTTTTTTTTAACTTTCTGCAAAGCTTTATTCCAGAGGGGCTCAGACCTTCTTGGCAGCTGCCTTCCTCATGGCGGCCAGCACGTTGCTCAGCTCCTCACACTTCCTCTTGGCATGGATGTGCGTCCCCACCCTTTTCTTGATGAACTTGAGGGCGCACTTGTCCTTGGAGACCTTGAGCATCTCCATAGCGCGCCACTCATAGGGGGCGAAGCCGCATACCTCCCGGATCATGTTCCACACGAACTTGGTATGTTTGGTGAGACGTCCATGGCAGTGGCTGTGCCTCAGTTTGCTCACATTCTTAGTCACCTTGTGGCCCTTGTTGAGGCCCACGGCCATGGGACAGCAGAGGGCCATAGCTACTCTTTTTCAATGGTTTCTTTGGCGGAAGTCCAAGTGCTCTTTATCCTCCATCCTTCGGTGAATCAGGAAATGGGGGCCCCAAACTACCTGGGGCAGTACCTAGGGCAGAGCCTGGTACTCCAGCTCCCAGTGCTGGCCCCAGTCCTGCCTCCACTTGAGGCAGGACTTTAAATATTTCCAATTTCAAATTGACTGAAACAGATGTTCCCCAGTCAATCCCGATCTGGGTTCTGTGTCTTCCTCCTTCAGCTTCCTCCCCCTTCCACCTCCAGAACCTCAGACATGAGCTCTGGAAGGCCAAGGCGCAGGCCCAACAGCAGGAGCAGCTGCTGAGAGCGCAGGTCGGTGAACTGCAAGTGCTTCGGGAGCAGCTCCACAGGTAACCTTGGCAACTCCAGCAGGACAGGCTCCTGCTCTTGGGCTGGCCAGCAAGGCCTTCTAAGACCAGTGCGCACCAGGTCTTATCCTAGACACAGCTTGAGGGTGTTGAGCCAACCCAATGCAGATTTTGTTCCTGTTCCTACCTTGCCCTTCTGCCACCAGCCTCCCTGGTAGCCCCAGGAGAGGTCCCTGTACCCTGCCCTGCCGTCCCTCCCATGTTCCACCCTGTTTCTTCCTGTTGTCTCTTGTAAGCCACTCGTACATCTTTTCAGTACACTCTGCCCCCAGTTACATGCTTCACCAGTGTGAATCAGTGATCAGAGGAGCGAGTCCCAAGCCCTGCAGCCGACTCCAGAGCAAGGGCCTCTGTCACTGCCCCTTGGCAAGTTTGTTGCGCACAGTCGCGCCCTATCCGTGGCATTTGGCTCCAGCCTCCCACGCACGGCCACATCCACACATGCTCTGGTCTCTTCTATGAAGTGGCCCGAGGCTGGCGTGGCCTGTGAATGTCCTCCTCTAATCCTTAGATGCTCTCTACATTATCTATTGATAGTACCTAATGTGATGCAGATGCTATGGAGTCTTTGCACTGATTTTTTTTTTTTTTTTTTTTTTTTTTTTTGCGGAACCAGAGATTGAACTCAGGCCCTTACGCTTGCCAGGGAGGTGCTTATTCCACTGAGCCATCTCCCCGGCCCCTGCACTGATTTTTAAGAAAATAATAACAGGAAAAAAGCTTTTATATGTTTAAAACAGACACTGTTTTCAAAATATTTTTGATCCATGGTGGGTTCAATCCACAGGCCCAGAACCTGTGCACACAGCGAGCAGACTGCCTTCACACTATTTCCATCTTCCCCACCAGGCAGCCTCCTCTCCATTATCGTCTTGACCTCAAGGCCCAGGGACAGCTGTCTAAGCTTCTCCTTCGTCTCTCTATGTCTTAGTTTCATTTACATGAGTTAGTTTTTTAAATATTTCCAAAGATCCTCCTGGGTCTGACTCAGTCTGTGCATCCCCTTCACTTGATCTCCAAGTGCCTCTGTCTGCCCGCCTGCCTCTGTCCTTCCCACATGCCTGACAGGGTCAGGGCACATGTCCAACCCCCCTCACAGGCTAGGTCGCTGTGATTCAGCCCAACTCACTGAGAAATCTAGTGACTGTCTGCCTAACAGCTTGGAGACCCGAGTCCAGCTCAGCTGGGCCCATCGTCTTGGTCAGCAATATTCCCATGATTCAGGCCCCAAGTGAACAGTGGGGCCTTGGTCATCTAAGAGCTTCTGTAGGCTCCCAGAAGGCTGAGTGAGGCACCCTGGAGGATCCGGGGGAATGCCCCAGGCCTGAGCTGCTCCTTGCAGCCAGCAGGGGCCCTATCACACAGCACTGTCGCTCATTCCCCCTGCAAACACTCTGAGCACCACTCGCACGGGAAATGCTCTCAGGGACAAAATGTGCAACTCCTGCCCTCGCAGAGCTGACATGCAGTGAGGAAGACAAGAAGGAAATACGGCGAGCAAGCGAAATCCGAGTAGGATGTAAGCTGTTGGATGGGGATGCATTCTCAGGAGGAAAAAGTAAAGCAAGGCATAGAAATGAGATGTGGCCATGGTGGCATTAGAAATATGGTGGCCCCTCTGGAAAGGTGAAGTTTGCGCAAAGGCCTAAAGGAAGTGAGGATGGAAGGGTGCTCCAGGAGAGATTGAGAACAGCAAGAACAACAGACCTGAGGTGGAAAAGGACAGACACGGTGGCTCTGGGGACATTAAGGAGGCCTTCAAGCCTCAGGGGTGAAGAAGGGTAAGGATGGAGGCAAAGATCTGGTGGGCAGTGGGGACTCGGGAGAGTCTAGGAGGTCTCAGGAAGACTGGGGGGGCATGTCAGGGGAGACAGAAGGTATGACTTTTTAAAATATAAAAATGTTTATATGCAATATATAACATTTGAAAAATGTTTAACAATGCAATGGTTTTTGGTATGTTTGCAGAGCTCTACAATATCAATGTAATCACTTTTAGAATATTTTGTCACCTTCAAAAGAAATGCTTTAGCCACTACCATCACCCCATTCTATTTTGTGTGTGTAGATCTGCATACTTTGCATATGTTGTGAAAGTCCCATGGAGCTGGACTGTAGGCAGGCAAGGCTGGGCACAGGCAGACCCCAGAAGCTGCTGCTGCTGCCAGGCAGGGGACAACATGGGTGCTCAGCTGGGGCTGTTGGTGAAGGAGAGGGACAATGGCCATGCTTTGGGTGCATTCTGCAGCAAAGCTTTCTGCGGGGGCTGAGCACAGGAGAGAAGACCGGGTGACTGAGTCTCTCCACTAGTCAGCAGAAAGCTAGAGTCACCATTAACCGAGTGGGGGCGCTGTGGTCAGCAGGGGTGTGAGGAAGCCTGCCTTCAAGAGCATGGCATCTGGGCTATCGGTTGGGTCCAGTTGGCCATTGGGCGAGTTGCGTGTGGTAGTTGGAGGGAGGCGCCAACTGGGTGATACTGGAGAGTCATCAGTGTGTGGACTCTGAGTCTTGGCGAACCTATGCTGCTCTGTCCCTGTCTGCACAGCCAGACAGAACCCATTGCTGAGAAAAGGGCCACGGGCATCAGGCTGACAGTAGGGGCCTCACTGCCAGCCAAAGGAAGCCCTCAGGACTGGCTTGCCAAGTCCACTGTGTTTAGGAATCCTCTACAGCTATGAGTGGGTGGCTGGGAGTGCAGAGCAGGGAATAAAGCCAGGAGTCTGCTCTGAGAGACTTGGGGTGGGGGACAGACAGGAAACAAACAAAAGTACAGTATCAAGCACCAGTCCTTGCAGTGGGGAAAAATGAAAGCCAGGGGTGGAGAGAAGGAGAGACATGGCTGTCATCCAGACTTGAGGTCAAGGAGGCCAGCTCTGAGAAGGTGCCATATGAACCCAAAGCCCAGCCATGAGAAACCATCCTGTGCCCAGACAGAGGAGGCGACTGCACAGGCAAGGCCAGTGGCAATGCCAAGACCTTTGGGACATGCATGGCGTGGGGGTGGCGGCAGGCAGTGTGGCTGGAGCAGGGAAGAACCGGGGGCTGGGAAGGCCCAAGTGAGGCCCTGAATTACTCTCTAGCCATGGGAGCCCAGGTCAGGGTTTGGAACAAGGGTATTTAAAAGGCTAGAAGCAGGCATGGTGGTACAGACATATAATCCCAGCACCCTCAAAGGCTGAGGCAGGAGGACCACAAGTTCAAGCTTAGCCTCAGTAACTTAACAACTTTGTAAGCCTGTCTCGAAAAAACATTAAAAAGGCCTGGGGATGCAGCTCCATGCTAAAGCCCTGGTTCAATGCCCAGCACAGGGAGGAGGGTAGTGTTAGACTGAAGGCTAAAGATAGCTCTATAGTAGAGCACTTACCCAGCATGCAAGAAACCCAGGGATTCAATCCCAAGCATCACAAAACATAAAATGAAATTGAAGGATAGACCTGTGGCAGAAGGAGCAGCAGCCCCTATAAGCAGAGCCCAGCCTAGACACAGAGGCAGGGGCAGCAGGAGCCCAGGCTGCAGTCCCAGGGCAGACCACAGGGCCATGGGAGTGGGCTTGGCACTGATATCTGTGAGGTAGTTTGTTTTTCTTCATCTGTGAGTTTTGATACTCATTTCGAGGTTTCTGGGCTGTGGGTCCATGGGACACTGGCTCCCGTGCTGGGTTTCATGTCTTTGATTTGTGCGAGACGGTGGAAGGTCCTCTTTTTACCTCAGCACTCTGGGGAGCCATCTCTCCAAGCAGGTGGTTTTGCTTTCTAAGACCAAAAAAAAAGAAGAAGAAGAAGAAGAAGAAGAAGAAGGTTAGGACAGAAGTAAGCTGAAGGGATCTTCAGGAAGGGGGACTAGGTTGACATCATGTCTCCCTCAGCCCCTGGAAGGCCACACCAAGTGCCTTGCCAGGAATCATGGGGACCAGCACCCACTGTGAAAGTGTAGGGAGGCAAAAAGTGGCCTAGGTCCAGATTTCTACACCCTTCACACCTCAAGCCATGTGACCCTGGGCAAGTGTCACTCCCTCTCCAAATCTCTACTCGGTCTTGTAAAATGAGGATCACATTGTCTCACGACATTGTGAAAAAGAAATATTTGGCTTGGTGCCTGGCCCATGAGTACACAAAAATCTCACTCTGTCGTCCCCTGTGCTGGGGCTGTCTATGATTCCCTGCTCAAAATATGTCAGTGATGACACTAAAATGCCCAAGTCCTAGGGCCATGGAGGGACAGAGTGGGGCTGCGGACCTCTCCCTCCTCTCCTGCCCTCCCTGCTCCCAGCCCCCCCTTTTTTCTTTCAGTTTTTCACACAGACCTAGCGCTGCTACTCCCTGGGAGACCTTTGCATGTGCCTGTCTCTGGTTCCAAAAGGCTGACTTTTCACCTTCCAGGTCTGCTTCAATGCCACCTCGTATGAGAAACCTTCCCTGCCACCCTCCCCAGGCTCGGTCTTTTACTGATCTCTGTCACAACCCTTAGTTTAATTATTTCATTGGTCACTGCAGGTTTTGACTGATTCACCAAAAGTGCTAACTTCCATAGGCCTTGCGGGCACCACGCCATTCCTGGCCCCTGAAACAGCCGCTGGCACATAGTGGGTACCTGATAAGTCTTCCCTCCCATCCCAGAGACACACACAGGGGTCACCTGAAGACCAAGGTCACTGAGCAAGTAAGCTGGCTCGGAAGAATCTGTCAGCAGCCAGGAGGGTAGGAGGCTAGACATCAGGAGGGTCCTGAAAGTCAGTAGGGGGCCTAACTCAGGCCCGAGCACCCAAAAACCCTCTGAAGTCTCGGTTGGTAATTTGTTGGAACTTCACTGGCTATCTGTTGTCCATTTGATTTCGCGGCCCACCCCACTTTCCTTTCTGCAGTTCACTAAGTGGCAGTGGCTTAAAGATTAATAGTTCTGTCCTTGTTAAGTCTCTTGCAAACCTTTCTCCTTCCCATACAATGAAGCCCAGTCTCAGGTGAATGCGCACACACAGCCGCAGGGGGATCCTCCTGAGGGCGTGAGACCCTCGCCAGCTTTTTCAGCTCACATTGGACACCTTCCCAACAGAGCCCGAGGCGGAGGCGGGAACCTTGGGCTGTGACCTTTTCCTTTCCAATTCCCTAGAGTTGTTGAAAACCACTAAAGACAAAGAGAGGCAAGAATAGAACTGAGGAAGCTCCAGGACCAAAACTGAAAGCCGTATTTCTACCATTACTTTTCAAATTGAAAAATAATGCAACATAACTTTAAAAAATACTTTAAGCCAAAAGAATCCTATCCAATTCTGCACAGCTCCCCAGCCGCACATAACTGCTTCCAGCTGGGCGCAGTCTACCCGGCCTGGGTTCCCAGGCCACCGCCTTCCCCGCAAGAGCTGCCATGGTTGTGAACATAGCTTTCAAAATTATACTTTAAAATTACACTTTAAAAATGGCAATGTTAATTTAAAAGGAAAAGAAGATGGCAGTGTTGGTTAGTGCCCTCCATAGGAGCCTCCAGGCAAGGCCCTATTTTCATCTCTCTGAACAATTATCTGTAGGTATGAGGTGATACACTGTGCTAAGTTGGGTGTGTGTGTGTGTGTGTGTGTGTGGACTTCAGGCAGGGGAGGCAGCAACATCTTTTCCCAGGAGGGCTAGAGTCCCAAATGTTCAGCTTTTCCCCCTCAGAACTGAGTCTCTCTCCTGCCAGGTGTGAGGAAGAAAGAGCCCAGCTACAGGCAGAGCTGAGGCAGAAGCAACAGGAGGCGGAGAAGAGGGAGGCCATGTATGAGGAAGAGCTTGGAGGACAGCGGGACCTGATCCAGGCCATGAAGAGGAGGATGCTAGAACTGATTCAGTAAGGACAGGGATGCGGGGCTGCTGAAGGGAAGGAATGCGGGGTCCTGGCATGAAAATTTGATTCCAACCACTTTCAAGCAGGGTTCTAGACCTTTCGTGGATGCTAACTCATTTATTTCTTAGCAACCATTGTTATTATTCCCATTTCACAGGTGAAGAAACTGAGGGTCAGAGAGGCTGATTTAGTCACCAAGGACGCACAGCATGTAAATTGCAGAGTCATCTGTAAACCATACATCTCCTCACCCCAAGTCACATCCACATCCACACATAGGTACCTACTAAGGTTAGGAGAGGAGCTAGGGGATCCTGAGTTGAGAAGGAATTCAGAAAAGGAGAGACAACCACAGGGGTTAACTAGGAGGTAATCATATGTGCTATACCTGCCTGCCTCGTGGCCACCTCAGACACCTGGGCCTGGGGGCTGCTCTAGTTGAGCTGTCCTGAGTTCCAGAGGCCAGGTTCACCAGGGTCATTCCTAGCCACCAAGCTCTCTGAGAGATGGCCATGGCCTCTACGCCTCAGTTTCATATGGAGATGATTCGCGTGTGTGCTAGCCTTTCATGTAGCTGAGGAAACAGAAGCCCATTGGGATTGGGTTCCACTACAATGGGAAGGCCGGTAGGAGGTCATCCAGAATGAAATCTTCCTCCACAAAATACAAATATTAAAGATGAGAAAAGGGGTGGATCAATTTGGAAAGGATAAACAAGTAATTTAAGGACTGAGATCCTCTAAGGAACTAACTGCATTGAATAGGAGGAAAAAGAGATATAAAAAGTTAGATATTTCACACACACAAAATGTAAAGTAGCGCACAATAAAAGTTACATGTGTGATCATTAAAGAAGAATAGATTTAATGGAAAATATAATGGAAGACAAAAAAATACACTATTCTTCTCAGGACTTGATATTCTAAATAGGCGTCAGTCACCTTGAAGAAGTCAGAGTCTCTAACCCAGCCTCCTACAGGAAAAGCCCCTGTTCTATATTCCTGTCCATTTGCTATGTGACTAACATCCCCATTTGATCCCGATTTAATCGATTTTACCAAGTAATTGTACTTGGAGTCTTACTGGTAGACTGTAGTTTTGCTCCACCTCACTTGTGAGTTCCCATGTTGTCCACCTTAGACTCACCTCACCTCATAGATTTACTCTATAAAAATTCCTAGAAGAAAAGTCAGGTTCCTTGGGAACCCACTGGGGTCCCCTTCTGTTCCTCTCTGGGAAAAAAGCTTTCTTTCCACCAACAAATGCATTCTGCCCTTATATATCCCTAAGTGTTAAGATTAGGATTAGTTTTAAAACTCAATCCCAAACATCTTGGCAACAGGATCAGAAAAGGAAGATAGAATGTTCCCCAAGCTCCTCTATCCACTCAGAGGAACATAATACTCATCAGGAGAAATGTATATTTTCCCTGGAACTAAAGAAATTAATCACAAGTCCTTAGGCAAGGAACTCAAAGCTATAAAATACAATGTTCCTAGCAGAAACTTAATGGAAGCTATGACCCTTAGCCAAAAGAAGGGGGAGGGAGCCACAGAGGTTAACTTCTGTCGAAATGGTGGACTAAGAGTCCCATGATCCCAGCACTCCCGGAAGTTGAGGCAGGAGGATCTCAGGTTGGAGCTCAGCCTGGCCAACTCAGCAACTCAGAGATACCTGTCTCAAAATACTTTTTTTAAAAGGGCTAGGATGGGACTCAGCGATAGAATGCATGCCTAGCAAGCTGGAAGCCCTGGCTTCAGTCCTCAGCACCAAAAACAAAAAAATAAACCTCCCCTAAAAGGGCTGGGAGGCTGGCCAGCTAGCTCAATGGATTGAAGCACTTATTTAGACAGATGCAGGGATTGGGGTTTGCCCCCGGGGGCCCACTGAGACAGCAGTTGAGACTATAATCCCAGCACTTGCTTGGGAGGCTGAAAACAGAAAGAATCACTCTGAGGCCAATCTGTACAGTGAGACCCTGTAGACCCTGCACTAAATACATTTTTAAAAGGCAGAAGGATTTTTTCTTTTTGCTCCAAATGCCTTCAGGGCAGGTTTGGCTGGCTTGAGTTGTGGGGATCAAACCACAGCAACCTGAGCCTGACTGCTTTGTTGAAGCAGCCACTTAAAGAACTGAGCTAAGGGGCAGGCCCCCTACATTTTTTAAAAAGGGCTGGGAATATATCTTAGGGCAAGCCCTAATTTAATCCCCAGTGTTGTGTATGTGTTTACACACACACACACACACACAGATAATGGACTGAACACACCTCAATTATTCTCTGTCCTGAGATCTCACTAAGTGGTTGCAAAAGAATAAAACCTATAACAGAGAGGAAAGTGGAGAAGCCAACCACAGAGGAGAAATTTTGGTTAGTTCCCAAATACTGTGGATACTGTATGAAGACCATGTGAAAACTTCAAGACCCAGAGACCCCAGGACATGCCTGGAGAAGGAAGATGAGTGATGAAGTAACCACACCCCCTGCCTTCTGCATGCCTTTCCACCTGCAGAAGATCCAGCGACAAGGGCTTAACTCCCAGGCAAATTATCAAAAGCTCCTCTCTAAAGAAACGTGCATGTCCCAAGTAGAAGAGCAGGTTGTGTCCAGGAGTGGGTGGGGGTCTGCTATGCCAGGTAGCTCCCTGCCAAGTGACCCATAAAGGAAAACCACTTGGTAATATCCCTGGTCATTACTTGCAGCTCCAACCACCTTCTGTGGCCTGTTTCTTAAACATGAAATAGCAACCAAAATCCCTAGACATTTGAAAGCCTAGACCAGAAAGGGTACCAAAAACACAACAAGAACAAGGAACATGTGTCTCCCCTGGGACAGGAAGCTGGAAGGGTGACTGTCAAAGATGAGAAGAGTTCTTGGAAATTAAAAAATACGTTGCTGAATTTTTAAGAAGTTCACTATGTATTGGAAGAGGAAGATGAGGAGGCTCTCAGAAAATAGAACAGGAAACAGAGATGGAAGTTATGAGAGAAAAAGAAACATAATCAGTGTAAGGGACCAATATCCCCCCAAATGACAGAAGGTTCCCCCAAAAGGACAAAATAAAATAATGGAGATGATCAAATACGACAAATATAAAAATACAGAAGATTTTCTGGTCCTGGTGGACACAGATTTCAGGCAGGTTCTTATGCTTAGTCTCTTATGAGCTATCTCTCCAGCCAGGACACAGATTTCAGATTTCAATATTACACTAAGTGATTGGCACAATAAATGACAAAACAAAATGAGCAATTACCTACCTGGATATAACACTAGGATTTCAGTCACACTGTCTAGGGGGTGGGGAGATAGTTCAGTAGCATAAGCACTTGCTGGGCAAGTGCAAGATCATGAGTTTGATCCCTAGTACCCCCTAAAACAAAAACTGTCTAAAGGAAAACACAGAGCACCTATAAAAAAAAAAAAAATAGAACCCAACACTTGTCAAAGATCTCTGCTGTAGCAATACTTTTCCAGTTCTGAGAAAAGCTGTCTTTTGCCCTAGAATCTCATGTGCAGCCAACACACGAATTGGAAGTGGGAAAAGTAATGGAGAAGGGTATCCAGCAGACAGACAGGTCTCAGAAACCTGACCTCCCACACAGCCTTTCTTAGGAAGCTATTTGAGGATGTGCCCCAGAAAAATAAAGAAGTATGCCACGAAAGAAGAAGATATGGAATTCAGGCAACAATAGTTCTACCTAGGAGGAAGAAAAGGGAATTCCCAAGATGACAAGTGGCAGTGGGCCCAGGGAACAGTCCATCCAGATCATAGAGAGGAATCTAGAGCTCAGGAAGAAGAAAATCTCTGGAGATAAGGAGTATCAAGAACTACTTGACACCATGAAGAATTCAGAGACAAATAATACGTTGAAGACAAGTAATATACACTAAAGGAAGTTCAATTAGAAACTCTCAGAAAAACAAGTGTTTCAAGAACCAAGCTACTATAGAACACAACTCAGCCCTTCGGGAAGACATATATATTATATCTATTTGGATTTTTTTTTTTCCTTTTTTGTTTGCTTGTTTGTTTGTGTGGGTGGGTGGTGCCAGGATTCAATCCCAGGGCCTCTTGCATGCTAGGCAAACACTCTACCACTAAAGTACACACTCAACCCCTTGTTTTTTCTAATGCAAGGATCAACCTAAAGATAAAGCATAAAGGTAATTATAAATCTAAAAACAGACTATGAATGTTACCACCTGAGCATTCTGGAAGTGTATGGAGCAGGACTTCAATACTCTGTGAAAAGGGAAATGTCTTATATTTTTTGCTGTACTTGTCTGTACAGACTGAGCGCTTCAAACCCTAAGCAGGTCCAGCTGAGGAACAAAAGTCTTCATTGTATTTAATTTTAATTGACTTATATTAGCATAGCTGCATGGGGCAGATAACTGCTGCATCGGATGCTTCGGGAATCCACGGCAAGTTAGGAAGAGGAGGAGAGAAGAGAGCTGAGGGGAGGGATGCTGGTCACAGAACGGGTCAGAAGACCTTGCCTGTAGTCGGTAGAATGAAAAGAAATGCATGGGCATGTTCTGGTTCTGTGAAGTTACAATGGTAACCAACAGAGGGACCAAAAAGAGTGCTAGCCCTGCACTGAGAGAAAAGAAAAGTTGATGGAGGTTTTTCTTTAAAAAAAAAAAGCTGAATGAATCCTCTGTACTGAAGGAAGGAGCGCTATAGAAAATGTTCTCTGCTGAGGCAGGGTTATGAGCGTATCAGTTAAGTGTGAAACTAATATTAAGGAAAAAAGCTAAAACAGTAAGAAATGCAGCTCATGCTGGCCTTGAGCTCACTTACTACCCCAGACTGGCCTCGAACTCTCAGCCGTCCTCCTCCCTCAGCCTCCTGAATGCTGGGGTCACGACGCCACAAGAGGCAGCCCTATCTGAGTTTGAAATTTGTGTGTGTGTGTGTGTGTGTGTGTGTGTGTGTGTTATTTTGACAAAAATTTGAAACATGCTACATTCCTATATACCTTTTTTAAATGTGATGATAATTTTGCAAGCGCACAAACAAAGACAAAGCAGTCTCAGTGCCAAATAAAAGATGACGGCCTCTGGGGCAAGGAGCCCAGGCCTCGAAGCCCAGGGAGCCGCTGTGGAGGGCAGACAGGCCCTTAGCAATAGTTGGGAGGGCTGCAGAGCTGGGCGTCATCACACTCCTTCCCAAAGGCTAACAGTGATCTCTGCTGTGTGTGTCTCTCTTCGCTTTCGTCTCTTTCCATCATCTCCCTCATCTTTCTCTGTTTCTCTCCCTGCCTGTATCTCTGCTCTTCCATCTCTGCATCTCATTCTCTTTGCTCCATCTGCATTTGTGCTTCTATCTGCTTCTCTGTGCTTCTGGTTTTTTTTTTTCTTTCTCTCTCTCTGTCTCTCTGTTTCTCTCACTCTCTCTCCTCCCCCATCTCCCCTCTCCTGCTCTGTCCCTTCTCCATTTCTGTGTCTGTCTTGCTGTTCCTCTGTCCTGGTGTTCTCTCACTTTGTCTCTGTGTGTCCTTCCATGTGCCACCCTTTGTCACTCTCTCCATCTCTTCCTCTTTTGTCACCTCCACACTTCTCTTCCCACTCTCCCCTCAACCTCCTGGCCTCTGTGTGTGTCCACTTCAACCATGCCCTAGAGAGAAGGACCGCCAGTGGCAGAGGCTCCAGCAGTTCGCGGGCATGGCCCCTGGCTGCTGCGTGGGCTGTAGCAAGGTCTTCGGCCGACTCTCCCGGAGGTACCCATGCAGGTAATGGGAAGGTCCACCCACAGCTGCCTGCCTGCCCCCCAAAAAGAAGAAACTGGAAAATGGGCATTTATAAAAGGCCACTTAAGTCCAGCCAGCCTGACTTGATGTCTGGCTGTCGTCACTAAGGATAGTGATGAACCAGACAGTGGGAAGAGGCAGAGACAGCTGGGGTCTGGGAGCTGGAGTTGTGTGACCTTTCACTAACCTTCTTGATTAGGGAAACACAGACAGGGGGCCAGGGAGATAGGTCAGTAGAATAAGCACTTGCCTGGCAAGTACAAGGCCCTGAGTTCAATCCCTGGTACTGCAAAAGAAAGAAAGAGAGAAAGAAAGAAAGAAAGAAAGAAAGAAAGAAAGAAAGAAAGAAAGAAAGAAAGAAAGAAAGAAAGAAAGAAAGCCAGCTGCTGTCCTCACCTTCCACTGCCATCATGGTGACAGGAAGAAAAGGGCCATCAGAAGAACCCACCACTTGGAGACAGAGATTCTTAGAGTTCAAGGGTATCAGGAAAGGGGACAGACCAAGGTCCATACTGCTAGAAGATTAGATATGACAGACAAACTCGTGACTCGTGACTCCTAGCCTTATCTAGGCATTCCCCAGTGAGCCGCAGAAACCACCAGGCTTCCCTGCCTCTGCCCTCTAGGCGCTGTGGAGGCCTGGTTTGCCATGCTTGCTCTGCAGATTACAAGAAGAGAGAGCACTGCTGTCCATGCTGTGCCCAAGGAGGAGAAGCCCAGGTCACCTGATGAAGACTGGCCAGGCTCTCCTACCAGCGGAAGAGCTAGGTGGGATTTCATTGGGCTCCCAGCCACGCTCTCTCATTTGGGGTAAAGGGGCTCCAGCCTCTCTGTGGAGTCCCGCGAGGCCCTCCAACTCCGACTGAGCATTCCCCCAGGCTCTGCCACTTCTCGCCCTCCCTTCTCACCCAGCTGAGGTGCCCTTGCCACACCTTCCCAGCTGTGCAGCCTGCACCTGTTGCAGCCCTTTAGCAGCTTCCTATAGAATCTGCTTCCCAGATCTGCATTCGACTCATTTGGTTTTACTTTGCTTTTAATAGACTTATTGAGATGTTATTGACATACAATAAACATTACATAAATTTGATGAGCTTTGACTTTCATACTGTGAAGGCTTCAACTATATTCATGCCCACGCTTCAGCCTCTCTCTGATCTCCCGCCATGCCCAGGCCACCACTGACCTTGCTTCCTGTCACCATAGACAAATGTGTACTTCCTAGAATTGTATAGAAATTGTATACAGTATAAACCCTTTACTGTCTGTCTTCTCTCACTCAGCATAATTATTTTGAGATTCATCTGGTTATTGCATTTATCAGAAGTTCTTTTCCATTGTTGAGTGGTACCCCACTGTATGGATATGCTGCATGTTGTTCATACATCCACCTGTCACATTTGTGTGGCTTCTAATTTAGGACTATTACAGATAGGGTTCCTCTAAGCATCTGTACACAAGTCTTTGTGTAGACATATCCTCACATTTTTCTGTGGCAAATACTTCCATATAGGTAGATCACATGGTAGGAGGATGTTTAACATTTTTAAAAACTGCTGAACTACAACCTCTCAGTATCTGTATGGGATGTGTTTCAGGACTCCCTATAGACACCCATGTCTGAGGATGCTCAAGTCCCTTGTATAAAATAGCATAGTATTTGCATGCAATCTACGAGCCATCCTCTCTTATGCTTTAAATCATCTCTCTATTAATTGTAACAAGTAATACAGTGAAGATGCAATGTCAATAGTTACTGTGTTGTTTAAGGAATAATAACAGTGGGGAAAATCTGTACATGTTTTTAAAAAATATTTTTCACACTCTTTAGCTGAATTTCTAAATACAGAAGCCAGGGCTGGAGAAGGGCCAGTTATATTTTCCAAAGGCATTGTGTTGCTGTACCCTCACCCTCCCTAGCTATAGGTGAAGGTCACGGTTGCTCTCCAGGGTGTCTGAGGAGGCCTGGGGCACTCTGCCCTTCTCATCTAATCATTGTGTGCCTTGGTGGCCCCAAGCTGTGAGTGCCTGGAAGCAAGGGCCAAGAGCAGGTGACCCTGTGCCATGCCCAACCAGACTTCAATGAAGATGGAGGACAAGCTGGCCACAATGGAAGATCACTTCCCCTGCTCCAGCCAGGAAGGCTTACGCAAATGGCTTATTGCCCACTGGGCACCTACTTGTGGCACTTCTGAGAAACCTGTTTCAGAAGAAGAGTGGGCCCCTCTCCATGACGTGTCATATAGCTGCCCTGTCCTGGCCCTCAAGCACACTGTGTGTCCCAACAGGCATTTGCCCTGTCGGCTCTACCTTATACGTTGTGCCAGAGTCTCGGCAGTAGTTTGGCAATCCTGTGGCTCTGACCAGAGCCCATGGACGGCCTCTTGGGGTCAGGGCTGTGCAGAATTGCATCCACTGCCTTTGCATGGAGCAAGAGTTTTGTAACCACAGTTTCTGCCCCAGAGAGCTGGTGACAACTTCTCCTTAGTAAACACAGTAAGGAGTTGGAGGGTTCCTCGGCAATAGAGGTAATAGAGTTACCCCAAAAGAGCAGCAGGACTTCCTGGAGATCAGACTGTCACACACACTTCTCTAGGGCCAGGATTTTTATCATAGCAGAAAGCAAGTCAGAAAGGCAGGAATCCCAGAAGGGGGCTCAGATCTTTCTAACAAGTGAGTGGGGCTGGGCATGGCTAGCAGAGCCTATTTTCAAAGAGGAAGAAGCTGCTAGAAAAGAACTTATCCAAAAGGGTTGGAATGCCAGGAGCAAAGAAGCTGAGCCCCCTTCTCCTTCTCCTCTTCCTCCTTCAGTTTGGAGAAAGGAAGGACAACACCGTCAGGCTCAGCTCTGCTCCCACAAAGGCCCTGTCCGTCCCAGTGGAGACCAAAATAGCTCTACAAACACCAGAAAATTGTGTGAGACTTTGAGGACCCTCGAGCAGAGAGTTCCACAGTGGTCACCGCAGATGACTCCAGACTCTAGCACTGCAAGGACAGCAGTCCCGTGGCATATGTCCAGCCACAGCAGCGCCCCAAATACCCAGGGAGCTCCTACCGAGGCAGAGGTCCCGTACAAGCACGGGGGGGGGGGGGCTCAGCTGCTGCCATTGGAGTTGTTACTAATGTCACTTCATCTGCTCTCATAGGCTGGGGACACCCTGGGAAGTTTGGACAACAAATAACACAGGTCTTAGCATGTCACGGTGGTACTTGTTTATAATTCCAGTTACTCAGGAGGCTGAGGCAAGAAGATCACAAGTGCAAGGCCAGCTTGGACAACATAGCAATACTCTGTCTTAAATAAAATAAAATAAGATAAAGGGGCTGGGGAAATAGTTCAGGGGTCTACATGCCTGCCTGGCAAGTGCAAAGACCTGGGTTCAATTCCAGGTACCGCATGCTGTACTGGCCTCAGAGCCCCGGGGGGTAGTGGAGCACGCCTGTAATCACCAGCGCTGGAGAGGCTGAGACAGGAGGATCACTATGAGTCTGAGCTTCATAGTGAGACCCTGTACCAAATACATAAATAAATAAATAAAATTTTAAGAGAAAAGAAATAAAATAAAACAAAATTTAATTTCATTTAAAAAGTTAGGGTGTCACTAAGTGGTAGAGCACATGTCTAGTACATGCAAGGGTCTGGGCTCAATCTCTAGTGCAGAAAAAAAAGGAAGGAAGAAGAATGGAAAAAAGAAAGCTTAGCTACTTTTTCTTCTTGCTGAGACAAAATACCCAACACCTAAAGTCAAAGGAGGAAAGATTTATCTCAGCTCACAGTTCATGGAGGTCTCAACACATAGCTGGCTGGCCCCAAGGCAGCATGGCGTGGCAGGAGGGAAATCGCGGAGGGTGGCAAAGCAGGAGGCAGAAACTGAAACAGTACAGCCGCAAGACCGCAGCAGCCCTCCTTACTTGTCTGAATCAAATGCCCGTGGGATTCCCTTGTGCATCAGTTTCTCCAGACTTTGCTACATTATTCAGTGCTCAACAGAAATGTATGAACCACTGGGGATACGCTTAACGCTGGTTTGGGGCCCAGGGCTTTCAAGAAGTGGGGGAAGAAACAGCCAAGCAGATGGATAATTACAAAGCCTAGGCTGGATGTGGACTGAAAAGGGAGGTTGGCAGAGCACACGACAGGGAACAACATTTCCAGGAACGTGGGCCATGACACCAAGGCCCCATGGGGAAGCTGAACACCCTGTGGGTCTACAGATGACTCACAGCAGCTGAATGAAGGCTGCAGCTGGCAGAGACCAGATGGAGAAGTCACAGGAGCCAGCAGCAAGGGCACCATGCTCAGGTCATGACCTCAACTTTATTTGAGGGCGGCAGAGGCCCTTACAGGGTTTTAGGAAGAAAAGAAGGAAGCTTGTCTGGCAGCAAAGGAGAGGGTAGATATGGGAGGGAAAGGCTTAGGGCAGAGGGGTCTAGAGGAGGAAGGAGAGGAGGAAGAGTGAGGGAGGGAAGAGGGGAGCCAGCGGAAACAGCAGCAGCAGGCAGCAACGCCACACATTGTTCTCATGCTCTATAAAAGCAGAGTCATTTCTTTCAATCCCTGTGACAGCCCTCTGTGCTGGGTGCTCCCATTGTGTGCCCATTCAACAGATAGTGAAACTGAGAAACAGCAAGATTAAATCACTTGTCCACAACCAGTAAGGCTCGCAACTAATCCGTGAGTCAGCCAGCTGGGATCCAGAACCCACAATCATCACATGATTGTTGTAATTTAGATAATAGAGGATAGAACGTTGCCCCACACAGTCAGTGAAGGTGACAGAAGCTGTCAAGTCCAGAGTGAGGTTAAGGAGAGGAAGAGCAAGGGGGGTGTGAAGTGAGAGACCTTTGGGGGCCTTCACTGCTTGGGCAGAGCAGTGAAGGAGAAGACACATGAGAGGGAAGTCCGAATACCAGGAAAGACAATGCGACCTATTTTCTGTGTCCTGAGTTTGCAGCATCTGCAGGGCCTTGGGGAGTTTGCAGGAGGTCATTTCACCAGGGAGTTCGGAACTTGAGAGCAGTAGGTATGAGAGGTACTGCCTGCACAGGTTGCAGGCTGAGGGCGTGAGTGCAAGCAGAGTCACCCGGGGAGGGAGGACCCAGGGAGAAACCAAGGAGCTTTCATATTTCAGAAATGAACTGAGAAGAAACAAATGAGGCCGAGAGAAGTCAAAGGGAAATAAGAAGAGAATGGGTCAGCGGGTGCCACCGTATGGAGATCAAGGAAGAGAAAATGAAAGCAGTCACTTTGCCAGCATAAATAAAGTTTAAAGCAATGGTGGTGAGCATACAGCACTTGTGCCAGAGTGGGCTGCTGTGTTACTAAAACCTCTGGCAGGCTCGCCATCACTGTTGTAAAGCACACAGCAGGAGCTGAGGGTGCAGCTCAGGGGTAGAGCGCTTGCCCAGCATGTGCAAGACTCTGGTTCTACCCTCAGCAGCAACAATAACCCAGGGTGCAGCGGGATGAGAGAAAAGACTTTAATGTGACCAACAAACATTCATAATACACTATTCCCACAGTACATAAAAAGTACCTGCACTCAGGGGGCAGAGGTAAGATCCCCAGGCCTGCCCTTCTGCCCCACCCCTGGGGCAGGCTGAGACGCCAATTGAGACTGGGCGTGGTGGTGCGCGCCTGTAATCCCAGCTCTTGGGAGGCCATAAACAGGTGGATCACTGCGAGTCTGATCTAGTAGTGAGACCCTGAACATCCTGTAGACCCTTCCCTAAAAATACAAAAAAAAAAAAAAAAAAGCCTGCAAATTGATGACATAATGACAATCTCACACAAAAGGAAAGCAGGTAAGAATAAATAATTAACAAAAGAAAAG